TTTTTCTTTTTTTTTTTTTTTTGAGTTGGCGTCTCACTCTGTCGCCCAGACTGGAGTGCAATGGACGCTCCTGGCCACCGCAGTCTCGACCTGCTGGGCTCTGGTCATCCTTCCGCCTCAGCCTTCCGAGTAGCCAGAATTACAGGCGCTCACTACCACGCACTGCTGATTTTTTTATTTTATTGTAGAGATGAGGTCTGGCCTGCCCAGGTGGGTCTCGAACCTGCGGGCTCAGGCAGTCCACTCACCTCAGCCTCCCAAAGGTGCGGGATTACAGGCTGAGCCACCCGGCTTATTTTCCTGATTTTTAAAATAATACAGGTTTTTACTGTAGAAAATTTGAGAAATAAACAATTATAAAGAAATAAATAAAAATAATCCAAAATCCTAACATGCAGAGTTAATCATTGTTAGTGTTTGGTCTGTATCCGCCAGGAATACTCTGTTTCTTATACAAAATTTAGTTTATAGTTTATTTAGATGTGCGTCCTGTCTGTTTAAACTTTCTGCTGTATGTTACAATGTAGACACATATAAAAAGAACATGCTGACTTTTTACTATGTATAAAGAACTGGATAAACCATTTTCATGAATGATCTTGTTTAAAAATTGCAGGACCCCTTTGAGGTAGTATCAGCCCTATTTACAGGTGAGGAAATTAAGGATTAGGGAAGTAAGCAATTTGCTGAATGTTACATAACTACTAAATGATGCAGTTAGGACGGAAATCAAGTGTTCTGGCTTCACACAGCACACTCTGAACCAAACTCTATTCTATATCTCATATCATTAAACATTCTCTGAAGCCGGATGTGGTGGTTTATGCCTAAAAATCCCAGCACTTTGGGAGGCCGAGGTAAGAGGATTGCCTGAGCCCACAGGTTCAAGACCAGCCTGGGCAACTTGGTGAGACCTCATCTCTACAATAAATCAAAAATTAGGTCAGGCTCGGTGGCTCAGCTTGCAATCCTTTGGGAGGCTGAGGCGAGTGGATTGCCTGAGCCCATGGGTTCGAGACCCACCCGGGCAACTTGGCAAGACCTCGTCTCTAAAATAAATCAAAAATTAGCAAGGTGTGGTAGCGTGTAGTTCTGGCTAGTTGGAAGGCTGACGTGGAAGGATTGCCGGAGCCCAGCAGGTCGAGTCTGTGGTGGCCTGGAGTGTGCCACTACCCTCCAGCCTGGGTGACAGAGTGAGACTCCAACTCAAAAAAACAAAAAATTAGCCAGGCTCGGTGGCTCAGCCTATAATCCCATGCTTTGGGTCGCTGAGATGAGTGGATTGCCTGAGCCCGAGGGTTTGAGACCCGCCTGAGCAACTTGGCGAGACCTCATCTCTACAATAAATCAAAAATTAGCCGGGCATGGGAGTGCGTACCTGTAGTTCCGGCCACTTGGAAGGCTGAGGTGGAAGGATCGCTGTAGCCCAGCAGGTCGAGGCTGTGTTGGCCGGGAGCGGCCACTGCACTCCAGTCTGGGCGACAGAGTGAGACTCCAACTCAAAAAAACAAAAAGTAAAAGAAAAAAAAATTCTCTGAAAACAGGATTTTAAAAGCTGCTGCATAATATCCACTGAGATAAACACTCCAAACCTTAATCTAATTCCTCTCCTAGTGATAAACAATTAGATTGTTTCCAATGTCTTGCTTTTTTTTTTTTTTTGAGTTGGAATCTCATTGTCACCCAGGTTGAAGTGCAGTGGCATGCTCATGGCCACTGCAGCCTCAACCTGCTGAGCTCAGATGGTACTTCCGCCTCAGTTTTCAAGTAGCTGGAACCACGGGCATGCGCCACCATGTCTGGCTTATTTATTTATTTACTTATTATGGAGATGAGGTCTTGCCAAGTTGCTCAGGCTGGTGTCAAACTCCTGGACTCAGGCAATTATCTCGCTTCCACCTCCCAAAGTGCTAGGATTATAGGCATGAGCCTCCATGCCCAGTCGCTTTTTAAACATAATACTTAGAACATCTTTGTGGACTGGGTGTGGTGTCTCACGTCTATAATCTCAGCACTTTGAGAGGCTGAAGTGAGAGGATTGCTTGAGCACAGGAGTTCAAGACCAGCCTGGGCAACAAGGCAAGACCTTGTCTCTAGAAGAAAAAAAAAAATTAGCCAGGAATGGTAGTGTGCTGGCGTGTTCTTGTAGTCCCAGCTACTCAAGAGGTTGAGGCAAAAGGATCACCTGAGCCCAGGAGGTTGAGGCTGTGAGCTGTGATTGTGCCACTGCACTCCAGCCTGGGTAACAGAGTGAGACTGACTCAACAATAACCAAAAAAGAACATTTTTGTGCATAAATATTTGTCTTGTAATGACTGAATATCTTATTATTCATTAGGGTATATGCCTAGGTATGAAATTTCAGGGTCATAATGGTAGCTATAATTTAATGGCATCACTGAAAATGACAGTTATAAAAAGTTTATTTATTTATTTTTATTTATTTATTGTTTTAATTTTTTTATTTTTTTGAGTTGGAGTCTCACTCTGTCGCTCAGACTGGAGTGCAGTGGCCCCATCACAGCTCCCAGCCTTCACCTCCTGGGCTCAGGTGATCCTTTTGCCTCAACCTCTTGAGTAGCTGGAACTACAAGAACACGCCAGCACACTACCATTC